TTTTCTTGTCATTAGCAGACACATGTAAATGACCAGTTGGAGCTGCCATGGAGTTGAGCTGTGTCACATTTACAAAATCCCAAAATCATATGAATGAAACCTCTGCTAACAGGTTTTTTACTGTGTCTGTACAAACTGATGCCTGAAGTCTATTTTTTAACCTTTATTTATACACAGAGTCTCATTGAGACCCAATGTCTCATTTGCAAGAGAGACCTGTTCCAGACAAACAAAATAAAATTACAACAAAAAAGCCAAGTCTGTCTAATATACGCAGTCATCTTAAAAAAGAAGAACAAGTTCCCAGAGATGATTTTGCAAAAACATTACAAACCAGCTATCTGAGAAATGAATCTTTAATTGAGGTTCATGAATTCATTGTATATTTGAGTGAATATTTATTTTCAATTTAACTTAATTACATATTTTGTTTAGCCTGTGTAGCATTTTGTTCAACTAAAGTTGTTTAAAATATGCCAAGGAATATTTTAATTAATTTAACACAGATCATCCTCTATATAAAAGCAAAGGATGAACCCCTGAGGAAGAAGAAAAAAAGATTTTCTCATTTATCATTAGAATTATTATTATTTTTATATTACATCAGTACATTTTGAAAGCAGAAATATTAGAAACTACAACAGCACAAAGATCTCAGCAGGATGTTTGGGAAATATTCCAGTCATTCCCCTGAAGCTGTTTGGCGGACTAAGTCAGTGCTTTATCAACAGATCCTACAGCTTGTAATATGAAAACATGTTCAGCAGCTCTCTGTTCTCTGATATGGAGAACACACTTCTAACTCCTGTCAAATCTGATTTAAGCTTTCAGATCCAGATAAAAACTAACAGACTTGATCTGGTTTTGGATTTCAGATCTGAGCCTCACATGTTTCTGGTCCTGGGAGTTTAACACAACAGAGCAAAATTGTCACAACCTGCAGACTCCTTCTCACAGACTCCTGTTTGAAGATAAGGAGCTACATAAAGCCACACAAACAGACATTAGATACAGAAGGACTGGCAGCATAAAGGGAGCGGCTTATTGAGAGGAACCCAAGAAAGCAGAACACACAAGAAGCTCTCTTCACTGTCTCACATCATATTCATGAGAAAAGGATTTTCTTTATGATGATGGGTGTTTTCAGTCAAGGAAACATTCTTCTATTGAAGTTTAAACCAGAAAAACTAGTAACTGCATGCAGCATAGTTTTCAGCTTGAAGCACGCCTTATCGTTGTGAAGCATCAACAGTATCAACATGTTATTTAACAGAGCCATGAAAACACTAACACACATCACGGATTTGTTTGGTCACACATTTTATGATTATATATCAGATTTATTGTACTTTAAGTACATTTGTATTTCTAAAGTTCCTAAAGACAAACTTTTAAAGGAGGAAACAAATCAAACTTACAGTTTCTTCAAACACACACACGAACAACAAGCTCCACTCCACACCTCGACACTAAACACGGACACACAGGTGAGCTGGAAGGAAGCAGGACTCCACGTGAAACATGACAGTTGGGAAGAGGCAGAATTTCAGAAGACTTTCAGACTGTTTAACTTTGTGTTTAGAGATTTAAAGTGGCCTCAATCTTGTCTCATTTCATTCTCTTTTCCTCTGAGCAGTTTCTGTTCTTAATTT